GTTAAAAACTGTTCGTGATTTATAAAAATGTTTGCATTTTGAGAAAATATTTGTATTTTTTCAAAATAACGTTAAAAATTGAAAAGTGTTCTCGTTTCTAAAACATTCAATTTAAAAAAAAGAAATCGGATTTCTAGAAACATGAACAATGTTCGAAAAATATGAATAATTTCAGAAAATACACATATTTTTTTTTTGAATTTCTGAACAAATTTCAGTATCGAGAACATTATTTGGAATTTCGAGTAAACCGATAGAAAACATCAAAAAGAAAAACCGGGAACAAAGAAACTAAAATTTTGGATCTTATAAACTTGCACCGCACTGTAATTATTCGCGTTGATTATCTCTAGTGGCTAGCACAACAAGCTCTAATGCCGAAGGTCTTGGGTTTGATCTCTGGCAATGCGTGATATTTTTGCGAATTTATGCTACAGTGCTCAATCGTTTCTCCGTACATATCCGCTCATGTGCCAGCGGGCCAGCCCAGTCAGTCGCCTGTGCGTTTGCCCGACAGTTTGCCACAATACACAACGACTATTTATCGCAACCCTGGTCTCCAAGGGTGATCACCGGCGCGACTAACCAATCCACCCACGAGTAGTTAGTAGTTAGTAGTAGGATAGCGACCTACTAGAGGCGACCAGAGCCGATCTTCTCCGTTTTTTTTTTTAATTTTGTTTTCTCCGATTTTTCATTCATTTCTTTTTATTCTCCATTTCGTTTCATTTTTGTTTTTTCCTTGTTTCTTTTTTCCATTGCATATTTTTATACACATGTTCAACATTTCTTCAAATATACAGGATCGACATTTTGTTTCATTTTTGTTTTTTCTTTGTTTCTTTTTTCCATTCTATATTTTTATATACCTGTTCAACATTCTTGAAATACCTGTTTAACATTTTAATATACATGATCAACATTTTTTAAAATACTTGTTCAACATTCTTCTATCTTTCTGTTTTTCATTCTACATTTTTATATACATGATAAAAAAATTCAAATACTTTTTTCAACATTTTTCAAATACTTGCTCAACATTTTTTCAAATACTTGTTCAACATTTTTATATACATGATCAAGATGTTTGTCAAATAGTTGTTCAACATTTTTCAAATAATTTCTCAAAAAAATTCAAATACCTACTCAACATTGTGAAATACTTGTTCAGCATAAACAAAAGTACTAAAATAAAAGTAAAAAAATAAAACTGAAAACGTAAAAAAGAGCAGGAAATAAAGGCTGTGGCGTCCTGTGCTAATGGGCTGGTACTGCTCGCTCACCCGCTGAAGGCCAGCGATAGTCGCGCCCGCCGCGCAATAAGCGGCAGATAGAACGAAATCACTAGTTGAGGAGTACTCGTTGCAAAAATCACTACTTGTAATGTCTGAGTTGGTTGAATAGTACGATTTATTTTCGTCCCACCACTTTCAACCTTTTTTTCACTGATTTTTTTTCCGTCTCCCCTCCCACCACCACTCTCCACGTTGGTTTATTTTTCTCTTCATTTTTTTTAGCAAATCAGCACTTTCCTAACGTACAAAAATCGCGGACTAAACTTTCATAATTTATCCAAATCAACCGATCTCTCTTATTAATGCAATTTATTTTAGGAAACAAATAACGAGTTTTTGGAAACAAATAAACCTCGTCATGAAAGCATTTATGTACCTATTTAATTTGTTATCTGTTTTGTGATTTTTTGTCTTTTTTTGTCACACCAACACCCTCGTCCACGGGTTATTTCATCATGTTTGGCAAGCGAACGGTTCCGCTCAGAGGCAGCCCGCTCGGAAGCTAGGTTTGCGCGCCGCCGCCGTCTTCCTGGTCGACGCCAACCTCCCGTGGGGCGCCGTCTTCCTGGAAGATGATGACCTACCGTGACTTCGTTGGCCGCATCCATCCCTGCCTCCCAATGTCTACTCCTAAAGAGGACTCTGCGGTCGTGATGATAGGTCATGGTGAAAGGATCGATACAGTTGGCTAGAGGGGGGAGGATGAATAGGAAACTAACAATTTTTAGTTTTTTTACCAATTTAAATTTTGCATCAAAGTAGGTTGTCTAGATATGCAATTAGGTGAGCAACCTATATGATGCAACAACAATAACAACAAGCAAGTAAGGGACACGACACAAATAAGCTTGCACAAGTAAAGGTACGAGATAACCAAGAGTGGAGCCGGCGAAGACAAGGATGTGTTACCGAAGTTCCTTCCTTTTGAAGGGAAGTACGTCTCCGTTGGAGCGGTGTTGAGGCACAATGCTCCCCAAGAAGCCACTAGGGTCACCGTATTCTCCTCACGCCCTCACACAATGCGAGATGCCATGATTCCACTATTGGTGCCCTTGAAGGTGGCGACCAGACCTTTACAAACAAGGTTGGGGCTCTCTCCACAACTTAATTGGAGGCTCCCAACGAAACCGCGAAGCTTCACCACAATGGAATGTGGCTTCGAGGTGACCTCAACCGTCTAGGGTGCTCAAACACCCAAGAGTAACAAAATCCACACAAGAAAGTATGGGGGAATCAAATCTCCTTTGGTGGAAGTGTAGATCTAGGTCTCCTCCTTCAATCCCTAGCAAATCAACAAGTTTGAGTGGCTAGGGAGAAAGACCGGGCTAGAGAGCTTGAGTAGCATTAATGGTGGAGTGAGAGAGGTAAGAGGTAAATGTGGTAGGTGGAAGAACCACCCTTATATAGCAACCCTAAAAATCCAACCGTTACTGTGCATTCTATACTGCAGCGGTACAACCGGTCCTTGCCCCGGTACAACCGGGACTCACGGTTATGCCCGCAGAACCCTACCAGGCGGTACAACCGGCCGACCACGCGGTAGTACCGGTTCATGAGAACAACCGAACCAACCGCCCGGCCACCGCTCAACCACTGCATTGAAATAGTAGGGAGTCACCCCTGAGTGCGGTAGTCGAGCGGTACACGACCGGTGCAACCGCCTGGCTATGGGTGCTTGAGCGGCTAAGTCCCAAGCGGTAGAACCGCTCAGGGCACTGATAGTACCGGTGTGCGGAGCACAACCGGACCAACCGGGACACTACCGCCCAAGTACCGCATCACAACAGAGGCAGGACCGGTTGTTCAGCGGTACTTGGTCGGAACGACCGCCCCAGTCATTGAGGAGCAAGGTGGCGGTACCACCGCCCGGAGGCAGCGGTACA